ATTTATATATATAGTACATGTCTTTCTTTGCTTAACCTATCATTTCGCAATGTTTGCTTTATTTTTAATCATTTTATTGGTCATCACTAAATGGTCATTTGTGATTCTTAATTTTTGTTTTGCAAGATTTTTTCATTTTCCGAACAAAATACACCAAAATTAATGCTTTTGTTAGATTACTTTTTATATTAAAAAGATTGTGTATCTGATTACAGAAAATATTTTATTTTATTTAATAAAAAAATTATCATCTAACTAAACAACGGTAGAAAATCATTTGATTAGTATTGAAATTACTGAATTTTTAAATTATATATTTTGTGTAGACATTAAATACTTTTTCCGTTTTATATTAGTTGCCATTTTAGGTTTAATTTTTTGTTTTATATTAGTATTTGCAATGCATATTCATAACTAATTTTTTTCATTTTTATCTTTATTTTTTAGTTTATTAATTACGTATATCAAATAACACAATGTATTAATTAAGATTAAAATAAAAAATTCAATTGTTTTTTTGAGAAATTTCAAAAAATATCGTTTTTTAAAATTTTTACAAAAATGTCACTTTTTCAAAATTTGTTTTTTTCTTATATTAATTATGTTCTATAAAGATTTAGTTATGAGAGTTTAGGAGGGTTTAGGGGTCAAAACATTTTTTAGTGTTTATAATTTTAAGATATAGGGTTTAAGAATCTATAATAAGTGGTATTTTTGCAAATGAACACTTTTGAGTGGTATTTTTGCAAATGTGCACATAAAAATGACATTTTTGCAATTTTTTTTTGTTTTTTAATCTATATAAAACAATTTAAAATAACAAGTATTGTGAAATGGAGAGAGTAGGAAGGTTTTTCATAGTTATTTGATTATTTGTGAACACCTATTTTAATCATTTTTTTTACCTCTCCGATGGCTACTTAATTAAATCAAATGAAGTTAATCATAAATACCAGATCTTTTATACACGTGATCCGGTATTTGCAAATCTTATTTTTTTCTCTTCATATTACCACGGTCCATACATTATTTTGTCCATGCCTACACCAAAACCACATTTTAAGTTATTGTGGAAATGTAACCGATCTTAGAATTTGGTGACAACAATTCCGATTATAGCTTATTTGTTAGGTTTTGATCTGGCAGTGATGAAAAATGTCAATTATATTTAAAAAGGTAAATAATATACAGAAGATATATTTACAAATAACAAAATAAATTTTCCCAATATGGAAGAGTAGAAAGTGAAATTAGAATAGTAGTGGGCGGTGTGAATGTTTAATCTATAATACTATAAACAGAGAGGGGACCAAGTTATTATGTTTTTAAGATGACATTTTATATTATTGAGAACAATTTGTTGAACTGATGAAGATTTTGCACGATTCTCGCTAACTTCTTGTCTCACCACTTCCCATATTTTATACATTTCGGCACCCCCAATAATCATATCAAACTCTACGGTTTCTACCTTATAAATAAATACAATCCCATTTTAAAACGAGATAACAACAAACTAAATAGCCAGACCAAAAAACATCAGAGTTTTTGAATGAACAAATTAAACTTACGATTATTTAACACTCGTAGACTGGTTAAAGTACACTCTATATTTTACGTTATTGTATTTTGATTAACTAATAAAATAATTAAAACTATAAATGGTGTGAAAATGACAGATAAAATGTAAATTGTTTTCTTGTAGTAGAAGGTTTATCACATGTAAAATGCTATATATTTATGACAAAATATCTATTTCCAAAAGTATAAGGTATGATTGATAACCATGTAACCATGTGGTACAAAATATACTGTTTTTATAGTTACCACTCACTAAAAAATACCAAAAAGTTATAAAAACATAATATTATGTTTTTTTATCGATTTCTCTTACAACTATTTTAAAAAAATTTAAATGTTTTGTAACTGATCACATTTTCTTTTAATCGTTAAAAAAATTTATATCGCTTTAGGTTACAATTGAATTCATTAAAAAAATGAATAGTGTGAATCCAGTTTAAATCGAACAATTATGAATGTATAGAATGAAAAACAATTATAAATGTTTTGTAACTGATTACACTTTCTTTTAATCGTTAAAAAAATTTGTATCGCTTTAGGTTACAATTGAATTCATTAAAAAAATTGAATAGTGTGCATCAAGTTTAAATGGAACAATTATGAATGTATAGAATGAAAAACAAAAGACAAACATGATCATAACGAAGTTAGCTTAAGCAAAAGTCACAAGAGTTAAGGATAAGTAACATTAATTAGTCATGTATTAGAAAATGGTAAACGGCGCAGTCAAAGTATTCATTTTGCATTGAATATCTTTTAGGATTAATTTGTGA